TGTTGTTATATACTGCTTATGTAATTATTATTATACAGTTAATGATTCCTGTGTCTTTGGGCATTGTTCATAGTCAGACTTGAATCAGACAACACACACAGCATGAACAGTTCCCCAAACCAACCAGGATACACACATGTGGACACAAATAGCAGCGCCAATATGGAAATGTGCTGGTATACCACTCTCTATTGATGAACTCAAAATATCTGTTCAGAAGATGGCTCACACATCTTAATAGGTTATCCACAAATTGGACACTTCTTGTGCAGTAAGACTGTATCAACAGGACTACAAGGAATTTCTGCAAGCAGAAAGTTGCTAAAGCAATGTTTTCTTTAATWCCTAACTTCTTAGCAAAAGAAGTGGCAGAAAAAACTCAAGTTTTTCCTCATAAAAAAGGGTATGTTTCTGAACAGTTATGATGGTAAGCAGAATGTGTTGCCCTAAATTGCTGTCCTCACGTTTATGCTGCTGGATACTTACAGCAGCTCTCCCCAAGGTGCTTTTAACAGAGACMGTGTCCTTTTGGTCTGCTATCTGGATCAATACCCAACTCAATCATTAATTTAGGTTTTGAGCTGTCTGCTCCAAAGTGTGTTTGCTTCAAAGCTTGTTTGCTTTCCCTACCTAATACTCAGACACCTCATTTTACATGAAAGGCCTGCTTCTGGTCTTAAAAATGTATCTTGGGACACCAAGTAATGTGAGGACTTAGCAGTTGACATCCTCTAAGCCTTTTCCAATGAAGTGACAGCTAATTGTCGTCTTTGGCTACATTGCAAAGAAACTATTATAAAGTACAACCTAGTTTCACAGAAAACCTTCATTCTTTGAAAACTCAACTTGCTTTAAAACAAAGTAAATCTTTGCACAGTGTAATATATACACAAATACTTGCTTACTTTAAAGTACAGACTCAATTTCTGTCTGTGCCATCTGCCTGTGCCATGGCTCACCTGCTAAAACTGTTACAGACTATGATGAGGCCCATTAAATAACCAGATGAAAACACTAATTTCACCTTTTCTCTGGGTTGACTCATATCTCYGAGAAAAGCCTTTTTATATCAGATAAAGACTGATTTTTTCTATTTATAATCCCATCTCAGCCTGAAACATTTCCACTCAAACTCTATTTCCACTTACACTATTTATAGTTTTACCAACCGGTTACATCTGACCCAGCAACTTAAAGTCCAGGTTGTTCCATTCTAGGGTCAAGCTCACAAATTTAAGATTTTAACTACATCTTTGTTTCACTCAAGCCTACTATTCATCTTTCCTAATATTCCTTTCCAAAAACTTGAAAGACAGTTTTCTAGCAAAATGAACAATGCATACAGGATAATTTCCTGCTTTTTTCTGGCATGGCATTTTTATGTTGTGACTTTTCTTAGGGATTCTGTGTACCGCTTATTCTTCACCTTCCTATTAAATAATCTTAACTCCAGAAGTTCTTGGTGCTGCTCAAAAATCAGGAAACTCAAATTCTTCCTGCATTTTTCTAGGAAACTCTAATCTAAACTAGGAGGCTCCAAAACCCCCTAATCTAAACTGAGAGGCTCCAAACCCAATAYTGCCTGAGATGTGAGGTTTCTGGAAGTCAAGCCATAGAGGTTTAGCTAACCTGTTGCAAAAAAGCCCCACTGAAAAAATATAGCAGAATGTCAAACAGTTGCTTTTTCTGCTCAGAGCGGTGAAAAGCATCTTACAGTCACCACCACAATGATGTTTAAGAAGACAACTAATTTCTTCATAAATTTCATTATAATGATAGAAGAGATGGTTCTTTTCCAGTGAAGATAACAGCATTCATAGTGAATGTTCTGCACAATCTCTACTGACTCAAAAAGATGTCTTAAGAAAAAAATAAAAAGGATTGATAGATGACTATTTCCTACAATAGCAATAATACCTTAAGAGGAGGGATGAAGAGGTGATGCAATAATTGCAGGAAGCAGCAGTCCAATCAAGGAACAGTTGTCTAAAGATAATTTGAAGAACAAAGCCAAAGGCAACAAGTGCACAGCTAAGCCCTGAAGCATATTCTGAGTCAACTGCTGCCACCAAGATAAGTTACCATGAGGCATCAGAGAGGTCAGAAAATCCAAAACCTTCATGTCATATATAACTACATAGATAGAAATAAAGCTAGATCTACAACTTGTTACAGCTGAGAAAAACATGCAGGAAGACAAAAGGATTAGAAACTGCAAGGATTAAATTAGCTATTTATAAACACTGTACCAATTCACAGCTTAGAAGTATGTCTGAATTAGTGCAGAGTAAGAACACACAGAAAGATGTCTGAGTGTCTGTACAGAAAGTTGATGCACATCCAACACTCACTCAGCAGTAGCAGGGGGRAAAATTGAGAAGTAAAGTAAACAAGGAATCACAGAAGCGTTAATATTTTAACTATTTAAGCCTATCCATGAATATAAAAAAAATTCAGGCTGAAAGTGTTGTTTTGTGGCAAAGTTTCTCTAAAGTCAATACTGCATAAAAACTATTCTGCAGTTACAAGGAAATGGAAAATTGTGGTCAAAATAATCAGCAAGCTGAGTTGGTGTCAGATGGTCAGATGGGGTTTCAGCTGGCAAGATATTCTTTCTGTACAGTTTCCTACCCTGAATCCCATTGCAATATTGTCAGAACTCTTCATTAGAAACTTCATTAGTTACACCAGAAGTAAGAGGTTCAAACTGAAAGAGAGAGAACTTTAGATAAACAGAAGAAATTCTTCCCTGCTGGGAGGGTGACACRTTGGAACAGGTTGCCCAGAGAAGCTGTGGATGCCCCATGCCTGGCAATGTTCTTGGCTGGGTTGGACTGGGCTCTGGAACAACCTCATCTAGTGTAAAATGTCCCTGCCTGTGTCAGTGGGGGATGGAAATGGGTGATCTTTAAGGTCCCTTCCAACACAAGCCATTCTATGAYTCTATATTAATTCTTTTGACAGAAGAAGAATAATTTTGCAACATTTAGTATAATTACATTTTATTGAAATATTGAAGTTCTTCTTAAAGTGTTACAAAGATATAATACATTTGTAATATAAGTGTAAAGGCTCCACATTAAAATGAAAAGATGTAGTAAAAAATCCAGATTAGAAGTTACTGCAGCAAAACAAACTCATTGCAATTACACTTGTATTTTGTTTGTTTTGTTSATTTGGGTTGTTTTTTTTTTTTAAGAAAACCAGCTATATTGACTGGCACATATAGAGAAAATAAAATACAGCAAGAGTTTTCTTCCTCCAAGAAGTATTCAATCAAGTAACACTGCAACAAACACTAATTATTTCATGCATAAATGTAGAGAGGATATTAAACTCTGCATATAGTACTAATTTCAGCTTTAGTACAGCCCCATTTGCAACACATTCCCGCCAAACCCAGGGACTCCCGTTTTCTTCTGGGATACCTGGCCCAAAGATAGTTGCTTGATTCCATGGAATTTTCATTTCCTGTTCCTCCCCTGTCCTTCTGAACAGCTTCCTCTATCTGGCGAACAAGTTTTTTGAAGTCTCCTGCCATAGGTACATATTCATTATAGTAATTTAAACTATACAAGTCCTTAAACGTCTCCCATCCAAGAAATGGGCTGCTTCTCTGCTCCACTTCAGGATCCAAAATTGATTGCAGGTTGAAATTTCCCAGTGGTTTGTTACTTGCTGTTTGTGCAGAATCTGTTTAAAGAGAAGACTTTTAAAAGTTAAGGCTGTAGGAGCACCAAAAGGAGAATACAACTCTAAGAAATATCAAAAAAACCCATTCAGTTAGTAATGAGTGCAGCACTTTTATGTAGGAGAACGGTCAGTACTTCAGAGTCTCCACACCATGACTTACTTGTAKCTTACATTTAGTGGCATCTATGTTTTAAATTCTATACCTTCTGTTAGATATGGAGAGTACGCAGAAACAACTGTAATTGARATAAAGACATCCTATCACAACTGCAGTGTTATTGACAGAGAAGCCTCACTTTTCCACAKAAAGAGAAATTTGTTGTGACGATGTGTATCCAGAAGCAACACAGAACTCTGTCATGTGTCTGATGAATTAGATTAGACCCCTCCTGTCCTGTGTAAAATCACACAAACAAAGAAGAACAAAAGTGGGAAGGACTAAATGAGCGAAGACTGCATGTAAACTGATTCTAACAAATTGTATTTTTCTATAGCTTCTTTTTAACTGATGCTCTCCACTCATTTCTTGCATTGCTCAAAACATATCAGAGGCTTGCAGAATTTACTTATGACATGCTTCCTCTCATTGACTAAAGTGTTCTCAAAAATCCAGCTCTACTTCCTTTTGCCTCACACTGTTTCTCTTTATTTTACTTCTGCAAGGCAAGTGGCATTGCTTACTTCAGCAAATGTGAAGAAAAGAGGCTTCTTCAATTCTTGATTGAAAAAGAATCCAAAAGAATTCTTTGTCTTGTGATCTTTTGTTTCAGAAAGCTGAAAGAACATGAGAATATCCAGCATACTTTATATTTACTTTGAAATGGCTAATTAGTATAGAGAACCTAACTTCCAGGTAGAACAGCTGCCTAAATATGTGCAAAAAATGAAAGCAGGTGTAGTTACTTTATTAGACATGACTGTTAGTTAATAGTCTTGTGGGGTGAAGAAGACGTTTAGTTAGACATCATGCAGCACAGTGGGGGCTCCTTAGTCACTGCTGTTCTCAGAAGCTGCTGTTAATAAAAAGGAAAGCAAAACTTGCTGGTGAAGAAAATAATCCCTGAAGAGGCTGTATGGAAGTAATTTGTTAGAATTAYAAAGGTTACTTTTATCTTTTACTCAATCTGTCAGGGGAAAAAAAGGCAAAACACTCCCAGAAAATCCAGAACACTGGCTTCATTAGCTGCCTGAACACTTAGGTTATTTCACTAATGATCTGTTCAATCAGGAAAAATAAATCTCTTCCATTGCACATTTTAGCCACAATTCCAAATTTTGTCCTTGGTAAAACCGTTACTTTTCACTATTCAAAACATAAACGTAATTTAGAGTCACCACTTAAAAGTACATTACCTGAGAACACAGCCCAAAAGGCATCTGCTTACAATTTCTCAATATATCAAGCTTGGGACATGCAACAGTAAAACTGTGAGGACTATTTTACCCGTTAACTGTTTCACCATAAAGCAGTTCTGGCTTTGTCAGCTGTAACCTGAAGCGCCAGCGAGTTCCATCCATCCTCCAAAGTGCTAACTCTTCGATGCAGAGCAGCACGACAGTGATAACACCTGGCGCTATCCCATATCCTTGGCGGTCCCGCGCATCCCGGGAATTCTGACGGGCAGCGCGACGCCAGAACTCCCGTCCGCGAGGGAAACCCCCGCTTCGTTCCCCCTCCCGAGCGGGAGTCTTGGGAAGGGAGAGAAGCCACAGCACAGCATTCCCCACCGCTCCCCAGGGCGATCAGACCTCCCCACATGGCCAAGAGAGGGAAGAAGTGTAATTTTTGTGGATTTCAAAGTAGAAGCGCCTCTGCCGCCGGCAGCCCTGCGCAGCAGCGCGCTATCTCCGAACTGACCAAAAACTTTGCGGGCTATGCCGGCAAATAACGGCGCAGCGCCTGCCGTCCCTTTTGCTCTGAATCTAAGGTCGTCCTTCCAGATTCTAACTAGGATCTGGAGGCAAAGCGAGAGAGGGACGGGGCTCAGGGCAGGCGGAGCGAGAGGCGCCGCGGGGCGCTCGCCCTTCCCCGTTCTCCCCTTCTCTCCATCCCTCCTCGCAGACCGCCTCTGGGCAGCGAGCGAAGCGCCCCGACAGCCGCCYGTCCCTCGGCCCCGCTCCGGGACACTCACCGGCCGCGGGCGCCGGCTCCACGGCCAGCAGGGAGAGCCGCTTCCAGCGGGAGCCGCCGCAGGTGAAGATGACGGCGCGGATGAACTCGCGGCCGCACAGCTTCACCCCGTACCCGTCCCCCTCGCCCGCGGGCTGCGCAGCCCCGGGATGTCCCGGCGGAGCCGCGCACAGCAGAGCCACCGCGGCGCAGAGCAGTCGCAGCTTGGCCATCCCCATGGAGCCGTCCCCGTCCCGCGGGCGCGTTCCAGCAGACCCGACGGCCGCCACAACGCCCCCGACCGCGGCGTCCAGCCCAGCCCCGCCGCTGCCCGCCGCCCGCCTTTTATGCGCTGCGAGCGGCGCTGAGTCACCGCCCCGGCCCCGGCCCCGGCCCCGAGCCCCCTCCCCTTCCCCGGTCCCGCCGCTGTCGTCTGTCGCCGGGCGGTCCCTGTGCCTCAAACAGGGGTCGAGGAGCCCTCGGGCAGCGCTTCCCTCCTCTGCCCCTGTTAGCTGTGGCGGCTCTTCACGCCRCCCTGAAGGTGCACCTCACCTTCGGCCTCCCTCCTCGGCCTCCCGGACCCCCACCCACCCGGACACAAACTCCTTTTCCTTCGCCGTATCTGCCCTTCAGCTTTTCTTGTTTATGGCCAGRTAGCAAGTGTCGATGCCCTTTCAAATGGCTTTGAAAATGTGAAAAGCTTAATCTCGACTGTCTTTTCCCTCGCGGGTCTAGAATCTCCACAACTATCTCTATGTCCTAAAGATGTTGGCTGACATGAAATGACAGAATCAAGTAAAATAAATGCACTTTCATAGAAGTACTTCAGCTGTGGATACTTGAAGGGGGATTTCAAAGCCTGGATTCCTCTCAGGTTTGTTGTGCTGGAGGCCTGAGCTCAGTGGCAGCCACAGGCATCCAAGTGTCAGAGATGCCCTGGCTCCAGAGTGGTGGAGATGCAGAGCTCCACAGCTGCCTGTCTCACCAGCAGGGCCCAGCAGGCTCTTGCTGACAAGGATGGTGGTTTTTGGACTTCAGGAAGAACTATGCAGTCTGTGAAGCAAATTTTACTTTTGAATTTTTTTTGTTCGTTTTGTGGTTTTTTTTTTTTTTTTTTTTCCCCAACACAAAGGGCCAAGAAGTGGCTGCTGTCACCTTTTATAAAAAGTCATACTGTGGAGAATCAGAACACTTCATCTCTCTTAAAATACTTTGAAGCTATTGGCCATAGATCCTTTTGCATGAGGGCTCTGTTTTTAATCCCGTGAGTATTGTTGGCATATTAAAAACCCCATCGAAACTCAATGTAGGAGAGAACAGAGAAGATGTACCTCTACAGACYAGTGTACACAGGTGACTGATTCAGTGGTAGTGGACACAGGTGACTTGTGCTAGTGGGGAAGTCATAGATTTCAGTCACCTCAACAAGGAGGACTTGGGTGTTTTACATGGAACCGGATCTAKTGGAGGGCTTAAACAGCGAGCAGCTCACAAAGCTGTTGTGCTTTAACMCCAGCCAGTCACCACGTCCCACACAGCATTCGCTCATTCACCCACTACTGTGACTGGAGAGAGACTCAGAAGAATAAAAGTGAGAAAACACATGGCTTCCGATAAATACAGTTTAATAGGGAAAGCAAGAGCTGCACACACAAGCAAAGCAAAACAAGGAATTGATTCAGTGCTTCCCATGGGCAGGGAGGTCTTCATCCATCTCGGGAAGACAAATACTATCACTCCAAATGTACCCTCCTTAGTTCTTCCTTCTTTCCCCCACTTTATATACCAGCATGATACCCCTTTTGTTATTTTGGGTCACCTGACCCAGCTGTGTCTCTTCCAAGCACCCCCAGTCCCCTCCCCAGCATGGCAGTCCCAAAAGCAGAAAAGGCCTTGGCTCTGTGCAAGCCCTGCTCAGCAATAACAAAAACATCTCTCTGTTATCAACCCTGTGTTCAGCACAAATCCAAAATGCAGCCCAACACCAGCCACTGAGAAGAAAATTAACTCTACCCCAGTCAAAACCAAGTCATTTGTCTGTGTTTCTTTTTTTCATCCAGTCTCAAGTGTTTTAGACCACGGTATCTCTTCAACAACAGGCATCCTCATCCAAGATGTTGCTAGGATGCAGCCCACAGAAGCGGGACCTGCTAATTCAAAATTCCTAAAGAAGAAAACCTTGATTTGTTTCTMCCTCAGCTGAAGTCTTACCTACTATACTGTTACAGACAGAAGTTGCACAGATAACTCACATTTTGAGAGAGCAGCACCTTGATTTTGCTGGTTTGTGGATTTTTCCTGAAAATACCATTGMACCAGGTGGACATCTGCATGAACTGGAGGTAGTCTTCTAGACAAGGGATTTGGTTTTGGTGACTGGAAAGCTGTAGTAATGTGAAAAAGCGTTACCAGGATGAGGCAAGAAGAAAGACACCTCCTGAGTCAGGCACTGACTGACCGGATGACTCACTCAGCCTGTAAATTAATATAATTCATTTTATACCCCACTTTGATGCCCATGCCCAATCTTTTTGCCAGTCTTTAAAAGCAGGAAAATGTCAGATGTCTCAGATTTTTTACCAGGGAATTTTAAGAGAAGTTCCCAGATAGCAGGGTGGTTTATCAGTCTAGAGGAAAAACTCTTGCCTCTCCACATGCTTCAGTTTCAAATTTAACTGGCTCATCACTTACTGTGATACCCCATCTAACTCCCCCGAAGCAAAGGCAGACATTATGATGGCCACCTTTAGAGGTTTTCTTGTGGGAACAACACTTTTGCAACTGTCTGAAGTGCATAAACTCTTAATGGCAGCTGCTAAATGCAAGCACTTGAGAGACTGGAAAACTGTGAGAACTTGTGAGACTGGAAAAAGAAGTAGTTTTTTTCTGACCTCATCTCCTTCTTCACCAGGACTACTGAATGTGAAAGAAAGTACTTTGTGTGCTTTCTGTTGAGCTTGTTGGTATGTGATAGAGCACAAATTGTCAAAGAGACCTTGGAGGGAATACCTTTTCAAGGCACCCCTAATTCCTCAGGGAAATGCACTGTAGCACTCTTCATCACTCTACTTGCTGAAAAGCAAAGGCTGTGACTGCTCTCTTCCTAGGATTAAAGACTGCAACAACAGGCAGTGAGTTAATGAGTTTTATTAAGGATCATATTTGAGTGAGCTGGCAGTGGTCTGACACTGCTCTGTCAATACGTTACCATGCTTAATACAGTTTCATTTGCAGGGTGTGTTGCTCATGAATTGCTCAGTATTTTTCCTCCAGCCATGTTTTAGCAACAATGCCTTTGCATTTAGGGCTTTGAACTCCATCTACTGTGATTTGCTGGAAGGTTATACAGGAACTTACTATGTTTGTCATATAACTTCAAATCATACAGGATTTTATAGAGAAAGCCTAACCGTCAATCTCTCCATGGAATTAAATCAGGTTTGTTTATCTGTTCATCATAGCCAGGAAAACTGTTCAAAACAAAACATGTAGAAAAAGATAAATAATTTAAATATAACAAATCTGAACTAACTATGTAACTTCTTACTGTTTGTTTCATAGCAACAGCAAAGAAATTAATATCCATTCATGATCCATAGGATGCTTCCAGGCAAGGACAACCAGTGTACTGGTTCAATGCAAGTATTTTGTATCTTTCGATTTCCTGAAACAAGGTCATTTACTCTCCTTGCAGTAAATTATGGATCTATTATGTAATAGCAAAGTTCATACAAGGTAAAGGAGGTTTCACAAAACCTGGTGGCTAAATGAAAAATATCCTTTAACAATACTTCCATAGCCTTGAATACCGTGGATTAAAGTCTTATTCCCATGTTAAATGTCAGACAGTCTACACAGAAAATCAGCAGTAGGACCAAAACTTACTGATTTCATTAGACTTTTTCCAGAGACTTCATTTCAAATTCATGCAATTCACTGCTGCAAGGACATCCTAGTTTTTGAAAGCTGTCTCAACATTAATTGAATRTATTTCTTAAGTTTGCTCAGTACTATAAAGGTTTCTGCAAGAAATGGGAAATACCACTGTATCCATGATTGGTGACCAAGTACCACCTTCATCAGATGACTGTGTAGTTTAGAAAGCAGTTGCAAGCTCATAATTAAAAAAAAAAATCAAGAAATCCATGCATTTTTGCATAATGAAGTCTAAGGATGATTACACAAATAAATAATAATGAAGAAACAGTAYGTCCCCATACATGCTTCCCCCTTCAATTTTAAAAGCACTGACTTGCAATCAGTCAAAAAATAACTTCAAAACATGTAGGAAGGCACTGTGATTTTCAACTTTCCCTGTCATAAGGAAGGGCCCAAAATGCCCTCCCCAAAAGTACTTTGCTTGCTTCACCTCAATACTCACGTATTCTCTCACAACCAGATAAACAAGAGGAGTGAGGGCAAGGCACTTGTGCCTTGAAGGTGGCCTGCACTTTCTTGGGCTCTCGACATGAGACATATCCACAATTAGAACACAAGGGGCTTAATTTTGACATCCTAATCATGATTGACTTCTCACTTTTCTGGAATATTCCTGCTCCAAACGACACTGCTTCAGGATATACGGCTATCGACATTAAACCAGAAAAAGCACAACAGGATTAAGGTGGTAACAGTAGTACCTTCAGGCCAGGCAAGCTCCCCCTGGAGTTGCTCTCCCTTTTCCCCCCAGTGATACATGGAAAAAAAGACAGTTGCTTTGATACATTAAAGTAAGTCTAACAGCTGAGGCCAGATGAGCACAAATGACAGAAAAGAGCAGAATGTTTTAGGTCTTTTATTTATTTCTATAACACATATGATGATTATGGACAACTTATGCTGTAAACATCAATTTCCCTGAAGTAAACCTTATCACCAATAATCTCCTGTTTTCTTTCATTGTCCTCTGAAAGAAGCGACATCATTCAGTTACTTTGCAGTTGTCACTATGTGACACCTCACACACGGCACATGCAAGCATTTTGATTAACACACTGGTAGCAGAACAACAAACAATGAGCACCTCCAAAACAAAAGCATGCACTTTTCAAGAAAAAATAAAACTAACAGTAAAAAATAACAGCAAAAAAGGTGACTAACCCTTAACTCCTCGATGATCTTCGGCACATTCCATGTAGCCCATTTAAATCCATTTCTGGGTTAGACTGTCTTGCTTAGAGCCTTTTCCTTAATATATTTGGTAAATTTCACTGACACTGTGTAATATTGAATTTAAGTTACCCCATTTCTGTCACTTTTTAGTGTGGAGTCTTGCAATAGATTAACACTATTGATCTAAGTTCAAAGTCTGGGAGAAAAAAAAATCAAATTTAGCTTGGATGGAGTAATAAAAAGTCACCCTATTATCCCCTAAAACTGACCATTATTTTGCTCCCTCTAACACTGGGTTTTTATCCAACACCATAGCCAAGAATCTGTCACAAACACACAGATATTGATTCCTAATTCACAGTGGATACAATTAGGGTATTCCTAATCTTCTAAGATTTATAAGTAAAACTGTTGTACAGGCTGTTAAAACCGTTCTCTTGCCAAAATATCTTTCATAGGATTAAAAGGTGGGCTAAAAGGCAGAGATAGAGACGTACAAACACAAAAAAAAAACCAGTTGGTTCAATTGCTTTTCTTTTTTGGAAAAAAGTATATCAATAGATGACAGATACCAAAACACAGAAGACTGTTACCGACTTCTTCAAAATTGAAGCATGCTGGACTTCAGAACTCGGAGAAAACTATGCAGATGCTCTATTATTCAATGTAAAACAAGAAAGTGGAGTAGTTACGTTCTATGAGTAGTACATAATACATCAGCAAGTGGTGAGGGGTTATGTTACAGGACAGGCAAAAATGTGAGGTGGTCTTGAGCTGCACAGTGCTTGCTCACMGAACAGGCTGAGCTGAGGCATGCCATCAAGAAAATTTCACTGGCTAAAGTGTAGCCCAAGCACACAGCAAGCTGCTCTAATCAAACCAGCTATTACATCCCATTTWATAACACTGTCCATTAAAACACATCACATTTGAAATCAGTTACAGACTGTATGCGCCGTTAACACACAGATGACAGAACCAATTACAGAAGTGACTAAATGCAGAAGCCAATGCACTTTCAGAAGTCAAACAGCGGAAACCATGCTATTAATTTCTTCTGTATAGAGAAGCTTTCATTTAATTATGTATCTACCTRTCTTACGGTGACAATATTCTAATTTTAGTTAAGTAGTCTTCAAAATCATATTTGGAACATCATCTTCAGCTGGAATTTAATTTTTAAGCCAACAAATTGTCAATACAGATTTAGGCCTAATTCATTTTTGGATGCTTTTATGCTTTTTGAGTATTTGTTTATCATTCCACAAATAGATTAATGCTAGAACAATCTCAATCAAAAATACAAAACAATCTATTTCTAAACAAGACTTCCAATACAGAAAGATGATTTTTTTTCCAAATGTGATATCACAACATTAAAGTATACTGGAACTATATTCTTTGTATGTACCATGCTAGAGTAAATGCATGCAAAAAATCCCTCAGTTTTGCAATACTTGTAAGGCCACTTGGATCTACTCATTACAAAAACATTCATTAATAATTTTGATTGCTGTTAGCTTAAGTTAATATTCATCTTAGTAGCAAAACTCTGATTTAATGTAAACAAATTACCCTGAGTTTCAGAATGCCAAACAAGCATGAAAAATATTCAGGAAATAGCCACATAATTTGTTTTCTCTTTTTCAGAAACTATCTCTGCTCATATTTTAACATAGTTTTCCCTAAAAGTAAAACACAGCTAGCAAGTGATATGTTTACTTCTGAACCTACTTCTGATAAAAGCTGTTTATTCCAGAATTTGAAGCAGAGATGGTGAGCTCACTGCCTAAAGAACAGCAAATAAAAAGTGTCTTATTTTTCAAGAAAATTGACTGCCTGATTTCAAATTGAGCTTTATACCCTGAAATACATTTGAAAATTATGACCATATTTATATAAACTTGTAACTACCAATTAACTGACCTTTATTGATTATACTGAATTTGGTTAGTACCAGACATTTTTATTACAGGTTAAAATTATTTTCAGACTCTGAACAGACAATAGAAATTCAGTTTTTCATTATAAACAAGAAAAATATACTACAGCACCAATGAACATTTTGAAGAGATACATACAACAGAGAAACAATTGCTTTAGAAAGTGCTGGGTTTGAAAAATAAATTGAATTTTGATTTTATAAAAGCTCAATCTTCTCAAATTTTTAATAATTTAAGTCCAAATGCAGTACTATAATCATATTTCACATATATAGCTTTAATATCATCTTCCTATTTTTCCATGAAGAACTTGCTTTGAGATATTCTGATTTTCTCCAAATCTTCAAACGTGAGAGGTCCTTTTGGAAATTCTAGCAAACTGCTCTGTGTGTCAAGTATGCTCTCTGCTTCACCTTAAAAACAAAAAAAACAAAAAAACAAAACAAAACAAACAAAAAAAAAAAGTAAATTTCCTCAGCCTTACAGCTAGAATGCAAAGGAAGGGAAAAAAAAAAAACAACTTAAGAAACTGATTTAACCAAATCTTGTTTGGACCACAATATCAAAATAGCAAGTCAAACAAGCTGATATTAATACAACAGTAAAGTTGTCTCCAAGGAATTTTAGACTGGTGAGATAATTAGGAATCTAAGAAGAAAGTGGATCAGACACACACATTAAGATGTACGTGAGCTTCAGCAAGTAAACTTGGGCACAGTATCACAGAGGTACCCTATCTGGGCACAATTTTTCTTCTCGCCTCAGGACTGGCCCAAGAGGTGCCAGAACATGGGCAGCACAGGTCTTAAGACATTGGTCAAAGCATACTGCCCACATAAAGATTTGCTAAGACAGTTACCTAAACATGAAGCATAGCAGGGAAAAATTGGAGAGTGCAGAATGCTCTGGGTAAGGCTGGAATGAAAACATCTAGGACAGAGAATTTAAAAAACAAAGACACAGACTGAACACCATACACAGGTTGTGGTGGTCTGAYTGTGATGATGCCATTTGGAACAATGCCAACTATCTTGTTTACCTATGCCTTAAGTTCCAGCTTCATGAGCATTACAGCAGTAGTTTGAAACTGTATTTATGTGCAAGGAGCCTGRCAGAATATTGCAATACAGTCAAGGTTATGGCCATTCATTAAAACAGGTCTGAGTGCTGAAATCTCCCAACTCTAATTTTTATAGTATTACAGTACCTGGSACCATCAATAATATCCAGCACTGGTTACTATTCCCACAACATCAGCCGTGGATACAGCATCTGATGAGGAAATAGCAAGAGATCTTGGGTGACAGAGATGCAGATAGGCAAATCTCAACGCCTGTCACTCACACATACTACAGTACATTGCTCACCACCATCCTTCTCACACTGCTCMGGACACAAGGATTGAGCTATCTAAATCTTGGAAAAGGTAGCCAGAACTCCTTGATTAGTGGAGAAGTTCTGGGCAATTAGAGGCTGGCCATATAATCCATACCCTCCTCTAAATAATTTGTCCAAAATACAGCASCAGTGTGTGCCTGAGCTGGGAGGAAAATCAAAACAACAAGGCCAAGAACACAGATAGCAGGTCCCTGATAATTCGTCATGTCCTCAGAGGTTCAGAAAAGATAGTGCACTTGAGGGCTGTTCTGTCACCCTGACATCCCTGAAAGATTACATTCTGATACATGGCCCTGGCAATTTAAGGCTTTTTGACAGCACAAGAAGTCGAAACAGGTGGTTCCCTCTATGTCCTCAGTTTTGGGTTTTAATTAGCCCAAGCTATAAAGCAGGAAAATACACCCCTCCTGTTTCAATGTGGAAGAACACTAAAGTCATGAGATAATTTTTGGAAAAGTAGGCTAGAGACAGAAGAAAAGGCTAACTGTAAAGAAGATCATAAACAAAATGCCTGATGAAAGACAAAGAAACCTTTCTGGGGGTATTAAACAATTCCAAAGGATGAAGGACAGCAGATGCAGACCTATGTGATCAAGGTGGTTCAGATATAAGGTTTACAGTGCAGGACAGAAATAACAGCAGATTAGCTTAGGAGAGAGAACTGGCTATGAGGCTGCAGACAGGTATATCCTGGCGGAAAGAGACTAGTTGAAGAAAGAACAGTAAAGGGAGTGGTGTATACATTCATGATTATACCACAGAGATGAAGCATGGCATGCATCAACACTATAGTCAGACAAGCAGAGAAGGGGTTAAGAAGGTGGGGGAGTGAACACAGGGATCAGCCAAATATTGAGAACAACCATTGTGGCTGCAGGTCAAATGTATCATAAAACCTTCTCTTCAACTACGTAATTTTAATCTTAAAATAAAAATGAACTCCTGATTTCCAGACCTGATTCATTCAGGCTAGTCTACTTCCTTTTAATCTAGTGCTGATATTGTTAATTAGTTTAATTTCCTTCTCCTACTTTCCTTTATCCTATCCTGTAAGTAGGATCTGTAAACCCAAATCTCTCATGTCCTTTTATGAAGGTAAACCAACTAATCATTTTTTTGCTTCTTGCAAGATAGCTGCCATTCCCTAATAGTTTTAGCTCTTTAATATAAAATTCCAGGTTCGCTGTACAGAAGTGATCTAAATTACATGTAAATTTCCACAGGAGGTATTATTTTCCTGCACCTTCCCATCTGTACTATTTGCACTAAGGATGTGAAATACAGATCCCTGAAGATATTCAAAAGCCTTTTGGACATTTTCCTGGACAACTGGTGATCGATGATCCTGCCTGAGCAGGGGGGTTGGATCACACAACCTCCAGAGGTCCTTTCTAAYTTCAATCATGTTTTTATACTAGGAAATCTCACTGGATATTTCTAGACTTTGCTCGACTCTCAATTTGATCACACTATTCAATTATATCAATTCTGTGATCATCTGAAGCATTCAAGTCTTCCCTTTTCCTACCATTTCCATCTGGTGAGCTCTGCTGGCAGAATTCCTAATTAGTCCCTAGTTTCTTGCTAACTTAGTTTGCYGTATTTTTGTATTTAGCTCCAGGGTTTCTTTCCTCCAAAACATTTTCACAAGYCTTGCATACCACTGAAGTTCTAGTGGATCTGAAGTGATGAAGAAGACTTTTCTTACTTGGAAAGTAATAGGATAAAATATTGCCCCTTTTCAACCTCTACAAGACCACATGGTACACAGGAAGCACATAACATACAAATCCTAAATTCTACCTGTTCATTCTGCACTGTATGTACCAMTCTCCTTTTTAACACTGTGATTTCCAAGAACTAACCAGTGTTTCATGCTATGCTTAGYTGACTGCCCACATAAAAATCCAAAGAAATTTATTTAATGGGGTTGAGAAAATGTTCACAAATACACATTCTTGCAGCACCTAAATATATTTGCACCTGCATGCAGCAGAACTATCGCAGATTTTGTTTAATTAACCTACCATTATTTTCAATGGAAGCATACAGAGTTAGGAAACCTGAGTGTTAGATCTGGAGGTTAAAGAACAAGAGCTGAAACAGATCTTTGTTTCACTATGATTGTGTCAGTAGCACACAAGACAGTCAAGTTAGTTAACAGAGATGATTTGTGAAGGTGAGAAGCCATGAGGCCCCGTGCTGTCTTCACCTACAGTCAACACGCACTGAGCACATCTCCTTCCCTAGGAATCAGRGTCAACATAAATGCACCTCCATAAACCTCAGCGCCATCATTTAAACAGATATAAACGGGACAACTGTATGGCAAGACCCCACTTTCTGGGACTCACCTTTCTTCAGTCTTAGCAGGATGCTGCAGCAAGATGGTCAGCAGATGACTCTGCTCATGAAGGTGTAAGGACATGATTCATGTCTGTATTTCTTTATCTGTTCTTAAATCCCTAACCCTTCCCAAAAACCAGCATTGGAGTGGAATATGGAAGGAAATCATACACAAAGAATTCAATTTTTTTTGAAACAAGAGGAGAAAATGACAACCAGCCTTAACTGAAAAGTAATGTTGTAAAAGTACAGTGAGTACTCTTGACTAGAAAAATGTCTGTTTTTAACAGACAAGAAAATAGAGAGAGAGAGAATATTTTTGTGAGGAAAAATATTAAGAAGTTTTCTTCCAGCCATTTTAAAAACATAACCAGTTACCTGAAGCTTGGTTCAAAGTGTGAACAGGATAGAATTACATACCTTTGATCCTTTGCAACAGTGTCCCATAGCCCATATCATATTGATAGGAAAATACAAAGCCTAAGGGAAGTATTGGCAGTAAAACTGCTGGGTTCTTCCTTTTAATTGCTCTGTGTAAGGGGAAAAAAAAAAAGAAAAATATTATTTAGGATATTCAGCACATCAGTGTTGTTAGTTTAGGTTGACCTTGACTGTCTAGGACTTGTATCCCTCTACAACCTTTAATCAAAAAACAAGTCTTAATTTCCTCAGAAACATTTGTTTTCTGGCTGCCTTCTTGCTCAACCCAAGGGTATTTAAAAAATGCTTATAGTGAGTTTTGAATATATCTAACAATATGGGACTATTTAACTCATGTGGCATGTGCAGATACATATATCCAGCCACCTACAGTGTGTAACAATGTAGATTCTATGTTCAATCTGAAATGCATCTGAGTCTACGGAGAACTCATAATGCATAAGGTACATTTAATCTTCTCTATGTACACAAAACCACAAATATCACCTACATTTTTTTCTAAGCATGCTACAGCACAAGAAAAACATGTTATCAAACAAAAGTACTGTAGGGCAAGTTCTTCCCTATGCAATATAGCTTTATTAGCCAGGTTTCTTTTTTCCTTGGGCCAGTTGATTGGAATTTAAGTGAGCAGATTTCAGAATATGTCCACTTGTTCACTGCACTAAAAATATCCAAATGAAGGATATGCTACTCATTAACAGTTCACTAAGTCACAGTACAGACAAGAAAACAGCATGGCTTTAAAATATTCTCTCCTCTTCCACACACAACTTTTACTTTACAATGGGCTTTCGGCACTTCTATATATGAATTTATCGTCAGCTCATGTCTCTGCTTTTAAATAAGTCTGCAGTACAGGCGGAATTAAAATACATCGAGAAGCAGATAGAATTCAGAGTCCCTTTGTCACCTGATCAACCCCTGAGCAGTTACGGGATAAAAATAACTACTTGTTGTAATGCAAAAGGAAGATACAGTGAAATAAAACTATATAATGTAATATATTCATATTTTCTGTTAGGAAATAGACTTCATACCCAGTTGTTAAAACTACAGCAGCAAGTCCAAAAAACGTTCCAAAATATTTGAGGAATTCCCGTGTCCAAGCAATCTGCATGGCTGCTTGTCTCTCTCTCATCAGGTTCTGCATTACGAGTTGCCTTTCCAGCTAAAGAAGGGAGAGAGATTAAACAAAATTAAGTCATCCATTTATTTTAAAGATTGAGTCAATCTCTCACCAGTCTATAAATCCAAAACAATAACTAAGAAGACAATCTTTCATAGCCTTCGACTGAGAATGGTCTTCTTCAGTAATAGTTTAYAGCAAGAAAGCATTTAGGTCAATTAGCAAATGGTTTTATGCAGAATCTTTCTAATGCTTATCAAAGTCAAGASAACAAAAAGACCAGGGTTAGGTTTCGAGAGGTCCCCAAGTCTCAGCAGGACTCTCTAGATAAAGATTCTCTGACCTTTATATTTCCACTGTGTTCCATAAAGTACCTGCTTTTCCAATTCATTCTGCCTTATTTTAATTTTCTTGTCATGATTTTAGAGTCATTCTTGACACCTCTTTGCCCTTTGAAAATTTCTCTTCCTCATGATGTTTCATAAAGGTAATTACTCTTCTGCAATATCACAGTTTACAAATATAGAAAAACACAGTGAAGATAACAGATCTTTTATAGGTACTGGAATATATATCAGAAGTCCATAAGGAAACACTTCTATTACTGAAATTAAAAACAGTAATGCAAAAAGTACAGTCCAGTCAATATATTCACATGCCCAAGCAGAACTTTCTATGGTACAGAATAATTTTAAAAAAACCCAAACTTTCTGTGGTCCATAAGAGTAAAAAAGCAGACTATTAGATTTAATTTTTTTTTCAATTATATTCCCCATCTAAACCTGATGTAYCTAAACTGATACATTTGCATTAAGTAAATTCAGTATTTCTTAAAAGTTCCTCTCAGCTGCACAGAACACAAAAAAGAAGACGGGTATTTCCTTCTTAGAATGATGCAAAAAATAAGAATTGTGCCAAAAATAAGCAGTCTGAAACCAGAGCAGAGAAGTTAGTTAACACAACAAGAAGTGTGCTTCTTCACAGTAATGTTTATAACTCATCTTTTTGGGGAAAAAAACCAAGAGTACCTAGTATGTTTAGGCTAGCTAACCAAGTCAGATGRAAGGTTCAACAAGGTACAGGAAACAGAATACGAGCTGCCTACAAAAGTGTATTCTAGGGAAGAAAGAACAAAGAGTGAATTCAGAAAGTTCTCCTCTAATAAATCTCTAAAAGTAATTAAATATGTTTTTTCTCCTGCTTTCTAATTCAAGAATAATTTAAAGGATTTGTAATTACTTAAGATTTCCACCCATTTATTCATCTCCATTACTATTGATTTAGCCTGAACAGAACAATTTCTGTTAAATTGTTACTAATTATTTCTTCAGACTATGTTGATCTTGCTATCTTATTTACAAGTTCATTCAGTAGCTAGATAGGCAGAAATAATTTTGAGACAGCATAATGAAAAAAAAAGGACAGATCTAATTACATATAATTATATACCATAGGAAAAACAACATTCATTGTAGTCTCACAGTACTATTTCATCTGTTTCTCTTTCCTCAAGACTTACGTTGCAATTGTTGCTCACACAAAAAATATCAACAGGCCTTACCTGATAGCCATAATTTTCAAATGGCTTTGTTTTGGTTTTTTTTTTCAGAAGAAGTAATTATATAATGGCTGAAAAACCACTTAATAAAAGATCAAAATAATTAGGTTTTATTTTGTCCCCTACAAGACAGTTGGAAATTCTAAAATAAACAAGTACGCTGGCCATTAATTATACCCATTTTAGTCCCAGATATCCTGAGCCTGGTAAATTGCTGAGGGCTGACGTGATAAGATAAAATAATGACATGTAATATCCATTTAATGACTTTATTTTCGTTTTGATTATAGATTGTGATTATAGATGTAGTTTCCATATATGTGAAAAGTATTAAGRGATCCTTTGTTTGCCTGTCAGCACAGACAAGGAGTCTATGCTTCCAGGATGCACAGTATTACACTAAATGAGCTTCAATTTGAAGAAGCACACAGTAAGGAAGTGGGACAAGGACACACTGACGAAATACAGATCTCGCTAAAAGGAAACAACAGAGAAGAACAAAAACAGACAGTTTAATATGCACAGTGTTTAGAAAGAAGTAAGCATCGCATAAAAAGAAAGATGTAAGTTCAAACCTGCAAAAGCAAACTAAAGGATCCTAACAGGATTTCTTTTAAAATAAACACACACACACACACACAAAAATCCCCAACAAAACCCCCCAACAAAAACCCTCTCACATGTTGTAYTTTGACAGCTCTTTAAAACCCAAGTGCTGAAAGAAAAAGGTAAGTCACAAACAATAAAGTCAAACAAACACCATACTGCAGGAGACTGTCATATCAAATTCCAGAAGCCCGAGGGTACTTTCATGTATATCTACAAGTAGTTCATATAAATAACCTAGTATAAATTGAAACAACTTGTTTTCTATATTATAGTCATCAGACAGATAACGTAATCAAACATTTTTCATATTCTTTTCTACCTAGCTATTTTTTCTTTCACTTGAGAGAAACAACCCCCAACTTTCTGCATCCAAAAACAAGTGGTGARATGAAATACACAGAAAAATGTGTGTAATTCCTTTCCTTCAAGCAAACTCCTCCCATGCAGATGCAAAATTTTACCTAGATGAAACAAATATTGTATTTAAAAAAACTTCTTAAAAGACCAAAAAAGGGAAGATGCCTTGGTTTAGATGTAGAAGTTTTAGCACTATGAATCTCAGAGATGAACATTCTATGTGTACATGGTGAAATGTGACAGCCAAGAAACAAAGGTTTCAGAGGAATATTAATGCACAGAAGATAGTAAAAAATAGGTCTAGGGACATTTGGCTGAAAGAATAATTTAATTCTTGCTATTACTGTAATTTCATGATGTTAAAATGAACAGTTTACAAGAACTATTTTGTCCCTAAACATACAATGTAGCATCAAGAAAGCCCTGAGATGTGTTTGGGGGGGGGGCAAGTTATCTACAACCGTGATGCAAAGGTTTGTTCTTAGACCAATCCTTGTTTAGTCATAATTTATACAGAGAAAACTAGGGACAACAYATGAATGTGTGCTCCAAAATCCCTTTGAACCTATGCAATTTTATGCCAAACCCAGGCATAAAATGCCAGAAGTTCCCTTGTTCTTTGCTCCTTTATTCTGTAAAAATCTTCATTCATGCCTTCCATTTCCAAGATCAGTTTTGTCACTTGGCATAGTTTCACCTTGCAAAACAGAAGACCATAGTGCTGCAGCTGCTAGGATGACAACTGGAATCTGAGTAACCAAGAGATTTGGTCTAAACATTCTAAGTGTTCCAGGGCAATTCCACAATGACGCCAGTGGATTTCAAGTTCTCCTTAAGCAAAAGGAGAAACCGAGCAACAATTATAGCCGAAGTTATCCTACTTCATCTTGTTTCATCACACAACTTCAAGTTACTGGAGTAWCTGTAGAAAACCATGGAGTACACCTGAGCTCTTTCCAAGGAGCTCTGTAGTCACTGTGGAGCACAGCAGAGAACACCTCTCTGGCATACTCTGACAAGGCAGAAAAAAGGCAGGGCACCTGCCTAACCTGTGCCAGCCACCAAAGACTGCTTTAGCATGTCCAAACCTGACATCTGATTCACTTAAAAGCAATGCCTGACTCTTTTAAAAGAGAGCATCCAAAATTCAGTTAAATGTATATACGAAGTGTCAAAATTAAATACCTACATGGGCACTCAGGCAACTCCTCTGCACCCCAGTCTTTCAAAATTTCAAACAGCTCATGGACAATATCCTTACGCCTATCCATCTAAATGAATGACCAATCTTAAATGAGTATTTTGAGCTCAAGTGGTTTTGAATGGCTAAGATATCATGATATGTTGACTTTACATTGACAAACAACTACTGGCAGATCTTAAGAAAAAAACAGTGCACTGAGATTACACTGACCTTAAGCAAGTCAGGATTTGAAAACATATCCATATAAGACAAGATTCAGGAGTCTACCACAAAAGATGACTCCAAATTAGATGAAAGAAAACCAAATCATGTTAGACTGCAGTTCAAATCAATATCCCATTTTCAGCTGTTAATTTCCTAGTAATTGTGTCTTATTTTCCTCTGCATGTGTTCTATTGAAAATGCCAGYCACACTGGGATAGTGAAAGACTTTTGATCTATTAACATGCAGATTTTATGAGAAAGGCCAAGTCCTACCTTCCTACGACTTCCTTTACAATAATATTTCAGATTACTTCTTTCCCATTATGGCAAAGCCATTAAAAAAGTAAGAACTGAAGAACAGCAGGTATTTCATTTTTACTGCAAAACAACTTCACATGCAGAAATTTATAGGTAATAAGACAGAAAACCCCCGTATCACTCAGACTTGGCAGAGGTGGGCTGCAGTTTATTTGGAAAAGTCCTACTGATAGAAGGTGATTATTGAGGAAACAAGCCACAGGCGCACACCACACATACCAGGTGAAAAACCATTCACCATCCAACTGCCACGTCTTAGAGAATAAATTCTATTTCATTTTAAATACACCATCCACTCATCTATATAGCCACAAAAACTTCATTAYGAATCATTACGTGACTACACTTGCACTAAAAACTAAAGACAAAGGATCTCAAGAGCAAATTTACCACATGAGGAAGAGAGATGCTGTAATTTTCCTAGCCAGGTTGCTGTGCGTTGCTCAAGAGAACTGAAGCTGTGATGTGGATGCATGAATACACATCCAAGCATGCTTTTCAATTACTTGTATCCTGTAACAATCAAACCATGTTGCATAAACACAATTAATATAATTAAAAAAAAAAGTGACAGTGGCAACTTCTATATTGATAAAAATACTGATTACATAATAAAAACAAATTAAGTATAAAATTTCAAAATAAAATTGGTACTAGCAGCAAGTGACATTTTAAAATTTATAAAACTCTCAAGAGGATCCAATCAGAAATAGCTTTCCCATTTTTCTTTAAATACAGCTAGTAGTTTCTTAACACTGTGCGAGAAACTGTAAGGGCTGATTGGGATTTTGA